TCTCTGTCCTGCCTCCTGGAATTCCTGGCATTCTGTTCTCTCTGACCTTGGGCAATAACACCCTTACTACCCCCTCTCTGACAGTCCCAGGACAGACCTGCTGGCCCCAGGACATTGCAGGTGCTGCAGGCATGACAACATGACCCAAACCACCAAGCCACTTAGCAGATCCCACAGCACGTGAGAAGCTTGTAGGGCCCCGGCCTCCAGGACTAAGGCTGGTTGTGGGCCTTAGGGTTGATTGGACATGCCCAAAAGAATGGCCTGGGCCCTTGGTGTCTACGATGGGAGGCCTAAGAACTGCTCTTAAGGGCCTTCGGGCCAAGGGTTAACATCACTAGATCTTCTGAGTGGTGTGCCTTCATTCTGGGTCCAACCCATCTGACGACCTGCAGTTCTCACAGCCAGGCTGAGTGCTGGGGAGGCTGTGTGACCAGCCCCACCCAACACTGATGCCACAGGTTAATTAGGGGTAAAGTCAGGCTCCCTGCTGTGGCTGCCACCAGCCAATGGCTTAGGGCCCCTTTGCATTGCTGGGCCCTTCAGAAGAGTCATGCCCTCCTCACTGACCCCTTATCTCCTTTCTCAGAATATTTCATGGGCGCCCTAACCGGTTTGGCTCAGTGGATAGAGCATCGGCCTGAGGACTGAAAGGTCCCAGGTTCTATTCCGATCAAGGGCATATACCTTGGTTGCGGGCACATCCCCAGTAGGAGGTGTGCGGGAGGCAGCTGATCGATGATTCTAACTCTCTATCTCTCTCCCTTCCTCTCTGTAAAAAGTCAATAAAACATATTTTTTTAAAAAGAATATTCCATGGGCAGCAACATCTTTTGGGTCTTGAGTGCAATAGAAATGATGTAACTATTGCTACAAAGATTTAAAAGAGCCCCGTGTACCCACTGGCACATGTACACAGATCATCTTGAGGAAAACATCAGACTGTGTAAAAACACTGGTAGTGAGATAGGGTAAAAGAATGATGGGTTTTGAACCCTGGCCCTGTCACTTACTGGGTGCATTCGTTTCCTATGGCAACTGGGACAAATGACCCCAAACTTAGTGGCTTCAAACAACGGAAACTCATTCTCTCACAGTTCTGGTGTCCAGAAGTCCACAATCAAGTTGTCAGCAGGGACATACTCCCTCCAAAGATTCCAGTGGCTTCTGTGGCCTTGGCCATTCCCTGGCTTGTGGCAGCATCACTCCAACCTCTGCCTCTATCTTTCCATGCTCTTCTTCTCGGTGTGTCTCTCTTTTGTGTGTCTCTTATAAGGACACATCATCAGATTTAGGAGCCACCCAGTTAATCTAGAAGGATCTCATCTTGAGATCCTTCACTTAATTAAACTGTAAAGACCCTTTCCAAATAAAGTCACATTTATAACGTGCAGGGCTTATGACTTGGATATGCCTCATTGGAGGACACCATTCAACCCATGACACTGAGTGATCTTAGGAAGTCACAGCCTCTCTGAGCCTCGATTCCCACATCTACAAGACAGGGATAGCAATTCCTATGTCACAAGGTTATTACGAAAATTAAAGTGAAAGCATTTGTCACATAGTAGATGCCCTATAAATACATATTTTTAACTTAGGCAGATTCCAACCCTGGGAAACTGAGTGCTCTCACTTACGAAGCCCTTGGCCACGCATACCTCTGCCCATCTGTATCTAGGGTGATTCCTGTTCCCTGCCCTGACCTTCCTTCTCTGCCCCTCTGACCTGTGTTCTCTGCCCCTCTGATTTGGTTCTTCCTGTCCTAAAACTCTGAGCACAGTATCTTCCATCGAAGTAGAGGCAGCACTCATTGCACATTTTAATTAAATCATATCTTCAGGCCGGACTGGCTCTTCCCGAGTCCTCAGCACCATGGAAGAATGAGCAGTTAACATCCAGTCCTTCCACTGCCCATAAGGAAGAATGGACAAATCAGATGACCTGGATCATAGAACCATCTCTACCCCCAACTGGCTGTGTGACCTTGGCCAAAAGTCTGAACTTCTCTGAGCCCCAGATTCTTCGTCTGAAAATGAAGTTGATGATGCCTCTCTTGTCAGCCGAGCCCAACCTCATGCAATGATCAACTGGGACAATGTGGGTGACAGAAACTGTAACCTGCAAAGTGCTCCACAAATGCGGGGTCTTAATTACCGTTCTCCGCTCACACTGAGGAGCGTGGTCCCTGACTCCAGGCACCTGCTCCTCGAGAGAAAGCTCAGCTCAGCCTCCCTCCTCTCTCAGGGTAAAGTCGGAGGCCGCTCCCTCTCCTGGCAGGGCTCGCTCACTCTACCAGTTGCCTTCACAATCCGCCGAGTCATGAGCAGAGATGGTGTAGAATGGAGGCTCATGACTCCGGATGTCGCATCCAGGCTCGGAGGCCCGCGCCCTGTTCAGAGACTCGCTGGTACTGTCAGGATCCGCTTGACTCGAGGAGAGAGGCCCATTGTGCTGCACTGGGAGGGCGTGGCAGGGCCTCTGACTCTGAAGCATAAGGAGACGCTGCAGGAGGAGAGCCCTTCAAGGCCGGCTGACCCGGCTTCAAATCTCCATTCTTTTACTTTCTAGCCACATGGACCCTCTGAGCCTCCATCTCCTCATCGGCACATGGGGATGACAGTGTCTGCAGGGCCGGTGGGAACCAGAGGCCATGACTCTGAAGCCGGCGTGTGGCACCTGGTAACCACCCTGAGGAAAAGGCCAAGGAACGGAAACTAACATTTATGAAGCACCTCCGTTTGGCTGGATGCTGTACTTACGCTTTTCTCATCTAATTTGTAAAACTCTGAAGCATTAAGATGCGGAAAGCAAAGTTAGACATGTGACGTGACTGGTGACAGGTAGTAAGAGAGCTGAAGTCTGTGTTTGAGTCCTCGCTGGTTGAGCCTTAAAACTGGAGCTGAGCCTAATGCTTCCCGTGGCTTCCCTGCCCATCCCCAGCCAGTACAGATCTGGCTCCCAGATGGAAAACACTTCATTAAGGAAGGAAAGGGGTGCTAAGTGAGTCTCAGGGTTCTTTGTCTTGTGAGGATGCTGGCAGGGAAGCTGCTGGCACAGTGAGCACTGGGGGCATCTGTATCAGTCAGGGTTCTCCAGAGAAACAGAACCAATAGGATGTATATAGATACATAGAACGAGATTTATTATGAGGGATTGGCTCATGCAATTACGGAGGCCAAGAAAGCCCACGATCAGCCGTCTATAAGCTGGAGGCCCAGGAAGCTGCTGGTGTGGGTCAGGCCAGTCAGAAGACCTGAGAACCAGGAGCTCCCAAGTCCAAGGGCAGGAGAACATGGAAGTCCCAACTCAAGCAGAGAGAGCAAATTCGCCCTCTCTCCACCTTTTTGTTCTATCCGGCCCTCAATGGGTCGTGTGAGGCCCACCTTCATTGATCAGAGCGATCTTTACTCAGTCTATTGATTCAAATGCTGATTTCTTTCAGAGACATCCTCACAGACATATCCAGAGAGAATGTTTACCAGCTCTGTGGGCATCCATTAGCCCAGTCAAGTTGACACAAAAGTTAACCATCACAGTAGCCAAGGAACGAGTGGTCCCCATGATGGCCACTCACTGTTGGCTATTTCTCCACCCAACAGTAGCCTTCAGTGGAGCCCTGTCACCGACTGTCCCCAGACACTCCCCAGTCTGCTCCCTCCCCACCTCTCCTGTTTCTCCACCTCTTCCTCCTTCACACTTTCTGGTCCAGCATCAGCTGGCTTGAGGTCACTTGAGACCAAGTTTTCTCACCTCCGCCCTTTATATGTGCTGTTCCTTGGCAGAATGCCCCCCTGCCATCTCCTGGCCAATTCTGACTTATCATTTAAGACTCTGCTGTGTGCTGCTAACACCAGAGAACCCTATCTGGCTCTCCAGGCCTGGTGCGGAGTATATGGTCCCATCTCTGCTCCCACGGTAATCCCGCACACCAGTTACCACCTCTGTACTACTTTTATTTTTTTTTAATCCTCACCAGAGGACATTTTTTCCATTGATATTTAGAGAGAGTGAAAGGGAGGGAGGCCTGGCTGGCGTGGCTCAGTAGTTGAGCGTTGACCATGATATCACGGTTCGATTCCTGGTCTGGGCATATGCCTGGGTTTCGGGCTCGATCCCCAGTGTGGGGCCTGCAGGAGGCAGCCGATCAATGATTCTCTCCCATCATTGATGTTTCTTTCTCTCCCTCTCTCTTCCTCTCTGAAATCAATAAAATAATTTTTTTTAAAAGAAAGAAAGGGAGGGAGGAGGGGGGAGAGAAAAACATCAATGTGAGAGAGACGCATCAATTAATTGGTTGTCTCTCACACACACCTTGACCAGGGCCCAGGATCGAGCCTGCAACCGAGGTACATGCCCTCGACCAGGAATCAAACCCAACACCCTTCGGTCCACAGGCTGATGCTCTGACCACTGAGCCAAACCGTAGGGGTCTGCACTACATTTTGATGTCATTATTCCTTAGTAACGTTTGTTCTTCTCATAGTCTGGGGTTGTCTTAAGTGGGGTTGAGGAGTGCTTAGGACAGTGGTTCCTGGGGGGGGAGGGAGTGAGAGGGCACCTGGAGAGGTCTTTTGACATCTTCTGTCCAATTCCCTCTCACCTATATGAGAATGGGTCGTTGGGAAGCACCACAGTTATTTTGCCAACCTCTCCAAGGTAATTCTGATTTAGGATTTGTCTCTCACCCTAACCCTTGCCAGCAAGCTGCGCAGGGAGACAGACAAACAACCTTTGAGCCATACAGTTTGGGGAAACGCATGTCTGCCTTCTCAGGGGGCTTGAGACTGGGAAACCAATTCCGAAATCATCACAGGTGCCTCGAAACTGAACTTGGTAGGGGTTGTGCTGAGGCGGCGGCTGGTTATGGGAAAGGTTGGTGTGTGGAGAGGGCCTGGAGGTGGGAGCCGATGAGGCGCCTCCTGGGCTTCCCTCCCTGCTTCCTTGTGCAAATAACCTGTCAGTGGTAAAATACTCTCTTTTTCTCCGGTTTGTAACAGCGTCCTGAGCTGGTGACAGACCTACTCTGCAGCTCTCAGTGGATTCAGCTCTCACCTTCCAGAAAACATGACCCTCGCTGGTAGGTACAAACTTACTTATGTGATGGGGCACCACAGCACAGGTTATTTCTGTACACGCATGTAGGTACCTACAGATGCACAGAAGAAGATAAGAGAATTACACCCAGGGTTGCAAAAGGTTGTCTCTAGACAGTGGGTGGGATTGCAGCTGAGTTCTTCTTCCTTTTGCTCTTCTGTGTGTGTGCTTTAAAAAGGATTTGCCATGCACATGTATTATTTTTTTAATATATTTTTATTGATTTGGGAGAGGGAGAGAGAAATAGAAACATCAATGATGAGAGAGAATCATTGATTGGCTGCCTCCTGCATGCCCCCCTCTGGGGATTGAGCTCACAACCCGGGCATGTGCTCTTGACTGGAATCAACCTTGGGACCCTTCAGTCTGCAGGCCGATGTTCTATCCACTGAGCCAAACCATCTAGGGCCATGTGTATTATTTTTAAGTCAATTATGTTTTCAATTTGTAAAAGGAAATGAGGAGGAACGTGCCCAGGCATCGCGCTGGGCATTAGCTGGGAGAGCCTGAGTGTACCTGAGCTTAAAACAAGG